CCTCAAGATGATATTCTTTTAAACTCGGACGGCGATATTCGTGATCAGCACACTTTGCTCTATGAGAATATATCTATTTGAATTAAAAATAAAAATGCGTGGTAACTTTGAATTACGCGGGCCTTATTCGTATACACCTTGAAATTCTGCGTCGAATGATGTGTATTTCAGGCAAAAATAAAACCTTGCTTGACCTTTGAATTAGTGGAACCTTAGAAACTGATAGTTTTTTTTTCTTTTCTTCGAGTACCTAGATATGTTGCGTCAAAAATTTTTCTACTTGATGCTTTGTATCTGTGGGAGTGACAGAAAACAAAAACATGCGTTAAAAACAAATATTCAAATCTTATCGTGTGGAGTTAGAACGTTTCTGTCGCTTATGAAATCCAAGAATAAATAGTGTAACATTTTCTCCATTTTGAGCAAATAGTGTAAATTATAAATCTATATGTGCTATCTTCCTATCATTAAAAAATAGTATCGGAAGATTAGTTACACGAGATCCAAAAACTAGTTTCAACACACTGGAATCATTTGACAATCTTTCAATTAAATTTTGTATCTGAAATGTATTCAGGCTTTTTAATTGCATTTTGTTACATTTATGTAACATATGGATTAACTACACAAGAATATGATTTTATTGTTGTCGGAGTGGGCAGTGGAGGATCAATTATGGCAGCTAGACTGAGTGAACCGCCTAATAATTGGACCGTCTTAGCCTTAGATCGAGGCGCGGCTCCTCATCCTCAACAACAACAAGATGATGACCTAAGTGGTTTGCATGATCCAAATTATTTTTCAATAGCCCAAAATTATCTCCTTAATCGATTAGTAAGAAATCCAAGATACTATGGTATTGGTGGAACAGCAATGATCAATGGTATGACTGCTGTAGCTCCATCAAGAAATCTACTTGATCAATTATGGCCAGATGGTTGGAAATGGAATGATTTATTTCCATACATGTTAAAAATGCAAAATCATTACTGTTATTATCTTCCTTCAGCATTAACTGGTATAACAGAAGAAGATTGTAAATTGTGGCATGGACAATCTGGTCCAGTTGATATAGCTCCACCATTGTATAATCAAATGCCTGAATTGCTACATGAAATGATGAAAGAATGTGATCAAAACGTAGGTTTTATGAATGATTATGATAATCCTAATAAACAATATGGGTGTTATTTTCAACAACAATTTCGCTCACCATTAAATAGATCAGATCCTGATTCACCAACTGTACGTGAAAGTACATGGCATGCATATCTTGACGGAATTAGTCGTACAAATCTTCAAATATTAGATTCAGCCACTGTATTAAAACTTATCTTTGATGAAAATGAGACAACAGAATGCATTGGTGTTCTGTATGAATATAAAGGCAATATATACAAAGCTTTGGTGAAGAAAGAAGTCATTTTATCTGCCGGTGTATTTGATACGCCAAAACTTCTTCAACTGTCTGGTGTTGGTCCAAAAGAATGGCTTGAACCATTGGGTGTTCCAGTGGTAGCAGATAACTCATACGTTGGACAAAATTTAATTGATCAAATGGCACTTTATATGGCATTCGAAACAACCGAAGATATTCCTTCTTTACCATGGGGCGCTGATACTTCTGGATGGCTACTTAACAGTGGATTGAACAAAAACAATAATTGGACAGATATTCAAATTTATTCTTATTCTAAATATCCTGTATTAACATTAGACTTTCCAATAACTGGTTATGATCCTGTTCTTGCTTATTCTCAGCCACCAATTTCATTTATAACATTTTTAGTATTTAATACTCAACCTGACGCTCGAGGTCAAATTAAAATTCAATCATTATCACCTTATGATAGACCTCAAATAGATCATGGTTGGCATGAATTAACAGAATATGATATATCAAATCTTCAATATGGAGTTAACTTCATTCGAAATATGTCTACAAATACAAATTGGGGTAAAAAGTATATTAAAAAAGAATTATATCCAGGAAATAGATATGATGGTTCAGATGATTTACATAGACGTTTGAATATGTGTAGTGCGTACCATCAAGCAGGCACATGTTCAATTGGAAAATGTACAGATAATCAAGCACGTGTTATAGGAATACAAAATGTTCGAGTATGTGATGTTAGTTTGTTTCCTACACAATTAAATGTTAATCCCACATATACACTTTATAGTATGTGTGAAAAAGTAGCTGATCTTGTAAAAAGTCAATACGCTTAACATTAATAATAAAGAGTAATACAATAAATTTCATTGATATTTAAAAAGTTTGAGCATACAGTGTTGAATAAATCTTCTTGGAGCTAGAATAGATCCCGACGAATCGCTAAAAATGTTCAAGAATTGTATTTCACCTTTGAAATATATATATTTGAAACGTTTTCGACGTCTATATTAGGCATGCAACAGTTTTTTGTCGTGTTTTACAAAAAATGTTTTGTATTTTCGCAGTAACGACCTGTGAAATTGTCTGAAATCAGCAGTTTTGTAGAGCAAACATTTCTCTACAAGATGGCATATAGTAGATATTTTTCAAAGTTACGCGATTACTTTAAAAAACGTTTTTGATAGAATGATCCAGCAGTTAAAAACCGCTATTTTTAACCGCAGTTTTAACGGATTATCCTGTCTTCATAAATTCAATTTCATAAATCACACATTTATGAAACTTGAAAAAGGTTTCATAAAATTTTCCATTTTTATGTAACTTCTGGATTAAAGAATTCGACATTCAAGTTTCCTGAATGTGTGATTCATATTGTTTCAGGTTCAATTAATTAATTCTTTAATTAATTTTGGTACTCAAATAAAAATATGGAATTTTATTCTAAAAGTGTATATACAAGCCTCTAACGAGGGAATCGTCCCAGGTGCCTAACTCCGATTTCCTTCATTCATACCTCGTTTTATAGAGCACATCGAGCTGGTAAAAAACCTAAAAGAATTTTTGCCTATGGCTCTTGAAGTCTCGTTTTTCTGCAAAACCAGTTTTTCTGAAATTCTAAAATATAATCAAAACCTTTCATAATGAGGTATAATTATAGCCTGCACATTTCTGATTAAAATGAGACGTCTCCCAGCTCTACACGACCTTTCTTTACAAAGTTACAGAATTCACAAGAAAAGCCCTAAACGTTCATTGTCAGCTCAAAGCTGTAGAAATAAGAAGAAATTAATTTAGGACTTTTCTTGGAAATTCTATAACTTTGCAAAAAATAATCATGTAGAGCTGGAAGACGTCTCATTTTAATCAGAAATGTGCGGGCTATAATTATACCTCATTATGAAAGGTTTTGATTATATTTTAGAATTTCTCAAAAACTGGTTTTGCAGAAAAACGAGACTTCAAGAGCCATGGGCAAAAATCCTTTTAGGCTTTTTACCAAGTCGATGTGCTCTATAGAACGAGGTATGAATGAAGGAAATCGGAGTTGGGCACCTGGGGCGGTTCCCTCGTAAGTGAGATGTGAGTCTCTCACAGACATATGCAGTTACCTTAATTGATCAATTAAACTAATTTAATTAACGACAACAGGGAGATATGTGCTTCTTAATTAAAAAAATATTTCTCTGAGAACAATATTAAACTTCTTATGTAACTTCTAGGTTAATAAATACAACCTCCAGTTTCCTAAATTATATAAAACTTGTTTCCAAGTTTCATAAATGTGTGATTTATAAAACTGTGTTTATGAAGACAGGATATCCCGTTTCAACTACTGAGTCATTCTATCAAAAACATTTTTTAAAGAAACCAAGCAATTTTAAAAATATCTATACATGCCATCTTGTAGAGAAATGTATTCTCTACAAAACTGTGTGTGCAACTACAAATTTCACAGTTCGTTTACTGCGAAAATACAAATCATTTTTTAAAAAATACGAAAAGAAACTGTTGCATACCTTGTTTCTCACTAAAAGTCTAAAGTTCTAAAATCTAATATATGCGCCGCACAGTTTCCGTAAATGGATGTAACCAGGATAAAGAGAGATTTGTTCGATTACAGAAGAAACGATGAAACTGATTCATCTAAACTTTTTTTCTGATTGAATTATACATCATTAGAAAGAGCGCATCGAGCTGAGTAGGAAAAGTCTGATTTTAGTCCTTAAACAAAAAATCCTTGAAACTTGAAAAGTTCACGTTTTCGAAAAATACCTTTGATTTTCAAGTAATTCAATTTTCTTTCTTTATAGTTCTCTTCAAGCGTTCAAACTACTTTTTCTGATTTGGCATCTAAAACTGATTCTAAAAATAATGCTGAATTGATTGTGAAACTTTTAGCCTTTTGGGATTTTGGAGCCAAAACCCTATCTGTCGAAGCGGTACGAGGTCGTTTTGTAAACGTGTCTGGTTTTTTTCGTGAATAGTTGTAGCCAAACTTGCTATCTCATCTTATTCGCCTGACGACGAACTGCAAAAGTACATATCAGGTTTTTAAAAATATTTCTTCCTCGTTGAGAAATTTCGCTTTTACTTAAATTTCGGCGAACGAAAAGGTCAGAATTCTGCCAATAATTCCCAATTTTCTTCATCAGAATTCAACTTTTATGCAATAAAAATATCATATTCGAAATCAGGATAAAAGACTAAGTCAAATACCATGTATTTTAAAATGATTACTTAATTTTTATCTTTTGATGAAAATCTCGATAACTTTCAACAAGAACATTCGAAAAAAGTTAAAGTTGTCTGGTAGGATAGAAATACACATTAATCGACTCAGTGTTTTATCGTAATTCCGAATGTGTTATTTTTATTGCATAAAAGTTGACTTCCGCAGAAGAAAATTGAGAATTACAAGCAGAATTCTGACTTTTCCACCAAAATTTCAGTGAAAGGGAAATTTCTCAGCGAAGAAGGAAAAGTTTTGCTCATCTTTGAATATCCGGCACCTTATAAAAGAAAAGAAAACCGTAGATGTTGATGAAACGATGAACTAAATAACTTTAAAAGTAAGTGAGATAGAAAAGCGAATATAAAGAAACTGATATGACATTTGTACAAAAAAATAAAAAATAAAAAGAGGAATCAGTACAATGTTGATCAATTTTGGTTTATAGCTTAAAATTACTAAAGATTCTTTTATTAATAATCTGTATGGATTATTATCGTTAAGCAGTATTTTAAAACGGTTCCAATTTATTTTGTGTCTTGTGTCAGAAATATGTTTAGAAATCGTTGATTTGTTTTCTTTTAAAATCATAGTGGCAGTGGTGAAGTTGTCATCGTCTAAAACTGATAAGTTAGATTACTTTTGTTTTTACTCCACAAGAACATGTTAAATTGTTTGAAAGTTAAAATAATGAAATTTAAACACGCTGTTATATTACTAATCGTGATTCTTAAATTATTGCTTTTAAATAAGTTAAATGTTTCACTGATCCTGGTGCTGGAACGTGTAAACAAAAAATAAGAAAAATAGGCCTTTTTTCAGAATATTTGTTGAAAAAGTGAAAATGTTGTCAAAACATCTCTGTGGAAGGATTTCTTTCGAAGGATAGGAAATAGGAAATAAAAGTGTGTGTGTTAAGATACATATCAAACTGTGATGGTTTGTTCTGGAAGAATGTTACTTATTACTATCCGTTTCCGTTTTAATCAGGACAGAAAAATACTCCGCCTTACCGCCACGTTACCAGTATAGGATGCTGTCGAGTTGATTTCCAGTGGCCTGATATCTTCCGTGCGGTTAAAAAGTTTTCGACATGGTCACCTATCTCCTTACTAGTCATCAGCCACTTTGGGCAGAAGGCTAGCCTGACACAGCGTTCTTTCGCTCAATTACTTGAGATCAACATACACACACAACAACCAGACACTAGCTTTTCGGAAAGCTGCGCAAATTAAACAGAGGAACTGTATTGTACTATCCAGGTAAGCAAAAAATTACTGAAGACGACCGTCACGACTAGTCCGAAATGTTAGTATATCCCTTCAGGACTAGTCTGGAACGTCCCTCTCGCTCGTTATGACTAGTCCAGTTTTTAATAAATGTCCGTATAACCCATCTAGACTGGTCTGGAGTGT